TCTTGGAAGGAACACCTGGGTTGCGGTCAAGTGGTTGGTCGAGAGCTAGTGATGGTAAGATGAGGGTGATGTCTACGGTGGCGAGCCCTTTTGGGGCCGACCATTGGTTGTTAGTGTTGGGCAGTTGTAGCACACTTGACATGCATGTAGCATTAGACGAATCAGGTTGGCCGCCCTCTCAAGGCCGGAGCGGCAAATGCCCGCCTTCTATGGGCTATGTCTTTTCTCTCCAGTGTCGATAGATCGTCGAGCATGATTGTGGAGGTCTTGTCCTTCGCGGCAGGGCAGTGCTCTTCGGTGAAGTTGCAACGAAGTCAAAGTTGTCGGTCTACGAGCATGGTTGGCGGTGTACGATGATGCCTCTTTTATTGGTAATAATGAGAACACATTGTTGGCCGAATAATGGTATTTGATAGATCCAACTTATGATATACTATGAGATTCAATCATCACCTTGTTGTCGATATTTTCATATTATGTGTTGACGTATACTCACGTCTTTAGACCATGAGAATATCGTGGACCTTCATACGAACGGTTTCTTTGGGGTTTTTGCTTCTCCGATGATGGAGAGATACTCTTTAGGCCCACTCGTACTACGGTATCCATCACCGTCTGGCCAGATACAGTGAGGTAGTGATCACGGTCTGGCCAGATACAGTGAGATAACGATCACGGGCTTACTGGAATACGCAACGGGAAAGGAGAACAAGCCGATAATGAAGATAACTTGGTATTGTGGTCAAAGATTTGCTTCACAAAGATACCGATTAAAGTCTCGCCCCGGATTTTGTAACATATTGTGAAGCAAATGAATCTGTGTATGGGAGCAAAATCTCAACAAAGATCTTCATGTATGTGTGCGAATTTATATGGGTGCCTAGATCTCGTTGTTAATTATTGACCGGAAGGTGTTCCGTGCCATATTCGCATATTACCAAACCTTCAGGGTCACACGCTTAGTGGCTAGTGGTTTGATAGAGTACTTGAAGATCATAGGAGAATGTGAGAAAGGCACCGAAAGTGTTCTGAATGTTTCAATAATGTTCTGAGAGTGCCCCGAAAGGCCCTGGAAGATCCAGGAATGTTTTGGAAGGCCCTATAACTTTCTCCCTTTGGCTATTTCAAGAGGGAGCAGACACATGGGCCACATTGGGCCCAAGGTGGTGTGGCCCCTCCCATCTTGGGGGGCAAGGCACTTGGTGCGGGGGTGGGGTCGTGGGAGGATTTCCATCCCCTTAGTTTGCTGGCCTTAGGAGGGGGCTGCCCCTCCTCCAAGTCATGCTCCCTGTCCATTTATAAATATAGAGTGGAGGGGCAGCCCCCAAAGACACAGAAGTCCAAGATTGCGCCCCCTTCCATTTGTGTGATCTTTCTCTCGCTAGAAGGCTACTTTGTCTCTAGTTCTCTGGTAGCTCATTGTCTTGGATGACGAAGTGTTGCCGAATCATTGATATGGTACGCTTGTATAGCAGAGGGGTCGTACATTCGTCTCGATTGGGGAAAATTCTCACGGCTGGGAGGTAATGACTAGTTGTGGGAATCTGCAAATCTTTATCAACGTCTACTTCATCTCCGTTGCGTTGTATTGGTGATACTGATCTATCCATGCATTTGTATAGTGTTCATGGGTGTGTTTGTACGGGTAGTGATATTTTTATTTTGTACTGTGTTCCCAACAAAATGGTTTTTTCCCTTTTTCTTTTGGTTTTTTCTTTACCTTTTTTTTTAATTTCCCGTGTACTGTAAAAAGAAGGTGGGAATACAAGTTGTACCATGATGCGCATCGTGTGCCCTGTTATGCATCACAGGGGAGTACATGTTGCACTACTCAGGTGCACAGGGGAGTACAAGTTGCACCACACATGAAGCACAAGTTGCACCCAAGTACACGTTACATTGTGCAGGAGGTACATGTTGCATCAAGGAGTACAGGTTGTACTGTAACATAAACACAAGTTGCACTACTCGGGAAGCACAACTTGCAGTACATGGGAGTACAATCTGTTGCGGCGTGAAGCACAAGCACATTACTATGCAAGTGCAAGTTACAGTACACAGAAAGCATAACTTGCAGCACATGGGACTACATTGCCCGTGGTGAGTACCACTTTGTTGCAGCATGAAGCACAAGTACGTTATAGTGGAGACACAAATTAGTTCTTGATGGGGGAACATAACGTCCAGAAAAGAATTCATCAAAGCCTGTCAATATGGGATCTAACTTCGGAGGTCCCGACATGAGGAATGCGACTATGAAAATAGTTTAGAAGCTCGGTTTGCGAGATATTTCATTTTAAAAATCAGATCTCACAGAAAAATGTGCACAACACTCTCCCCATCCTCCCACGGTGCAAAAAAATCCAGCAAAACTCTCTCGTAGCGACAACCAATGCAAATGTGTCACGCCACTTGACATTATCGGAGTAATTTAGAGGTAACATTTTTTATGGTAACTTTGGAGGTAACCTTTGCAAGGTACACCTCAACTAAGGTTTTTTTTTTGAAAAAAAATGTTTAGCGAAAGAGAGGTCATCCAAAGGTTTATTCCTAAAATTAGACAACATCATCTTTTCCTTTCCGATTTATTCCTAAAATTAGACACTCGTAAGCCCAAATATTTCAAAGGAATGGAACCCAACTCACA